CAACCTTTCTTAAACAGCCTTTCTTTTGAAGAGTGGAAGCTGTTTATGTGACAGATACAGGTTGCATTTGGGTCAGGATTTCAGCTTGGCTCCAGAGCCTACACTTGACCCAGTCTCCTGGTTGTTTCCATGTTCTGTGCTTCGATTTACATCATGGGGTGGTGTTGGAGCACATAAACTGGTTTACTTTTTGGTGAAAGATATGATCTCAATGCTGATGAGCATTCAGTCCACTGGGCTAGAGCAGAGCTAGTCTGAAATGTTAGAAATAATGTCTCCTTCCATCCCCCCCAAATGTGTGTAGTGTGAACATCAGGTCCTTCATGCTGAATTTTGGTGAGTAGGTGGTGATGAGTAGATGGAGACCACAGTGATTCAGGTTGTCCCCTTGCAGGCTGTGGAGGGCCACAGTGGAACAGGTATCCATGCTGCAGCGCACGGGGGACCCCATGCTGGAGCAGGTGGACATGCCGTGGAGGAAACTGCAGCCCATGGAGAGCCCACACTTGAGCAGTGTTTTCCTGAAGAACTGCAGCCTGTGGTGAGGACGCATGCTGGAGCAAGGGAAAAGTGTGAGGAGCTGTTATGGACTGACCATAACCCCCCATTCCCCATCTTCACTGAAATTTCTTCACCAGAAAGGTTGGCAGGCATTGGAACAGGCTGCCCAGGGAAGTGGTTGAGTCCCCATCCCTGGGGGTATTTAAGAGACAGGTGGACGTGGCACTTAGGGACATGGTTTAGTGGTGGGCTTGGTACTTAAGGCTCTTTTCCAACAGAAATGATTCTGAAATCCTGTCTCCCCTGGGGAGAAGCAGGGAGATGGAGGAGTTGGGAATGAAGGAGTGAAGTTGAGTCTAGGAAGAAGGGGAAGTGTAGGGAGAAGGCGTTTTATTTAGTTTTTGTCTTTCTCACCATCCTCTTTGTAATTGGCAATAAATTTAATTTTCCCCAAGTCAAGTCTGCTTTGCCTGGGATGGTAATTGGTAGGTGATCTCACTTTCATTTTGACCTACAAGCTTTTTCATTTTATTTTCACTCCCCATTGTGTCAAAGAGGGGGAGTGGGAGTGGCTGAGTGGGTGTCTGGCAGCCAGCCAAGGTCAACCCACCACATTCATGTACCTATAATATCTACTTCAACTTAAAGAAGGTTGAAAGAATTTTTTTTAAAACATAGTATTGATTTAAATGGTTCATCTTGTTTGTATTATGAACATGACTAAGAGTTTAGCGATCACATTTTGTGATTCGGAAGTAGCACCTTGTTTTAGCATCTTTTTTTTTTTTTAGCTGATGAAGTTGAAACTCACTGAGTCCACTGTCACCAGAGGTATACAAATCTACTTCTCCCTCCAGATCTCTAGTGCTGTGGTTAAACATTCTGTAACAGGATTACTTGCCTGCTCCTGCCCTGCAATGCTTTGTTTGCCGTGCCAGCAGTGTTGTGCAGCACCACAAAGAACAGGATTGGGAAACCAATCCAGCTGAATATTTTTCCTCCTGGCTGTTTTTCAGCCGGGTATGTTTCTTGATCCAGTTTACAGCTCAACGCTGCAAAAACCTTTTGCTGGCATAATGGAAAGAATGGAGCAGCGTGATCAGGTGAGGCATGCACTGAAGTGGGCGTTGCTGCTGGAATCGTGTCGGGGAACGGATGAGGAAAGGCTGTATCTATCAGGGTGGTGGTTAGGGATCTGTGAGATAGAGAAGTGACTCTTGATCAGAGACTCCAAATACAGACATGCACTGTTCTCTTTTTAAGTCCTGCTATAGTCAGTAAAATGACTTTTGAGTCAAACATCTCTGTTTATTATTTTCTTGGTCTTTCCTAAGGAAGTTTTTCTGAGTTTTTCCACAGCAGCCTTTGCCTCACTGGCTAGAAATGTTTAGTTTTTATTTAAGTTTACTGTGAGATGACCTAGTTTATTACATGACTTGTGATTATACCTCTCTTTTACCCTCTTCCCTGCTGCTTGAACAAATTGAAGGATCCTGCAGCACTCAACTCCTTGGCTCTTTTACATCCAGAATAACTGTGATCCTTGACAAACTGTCTTCCCTGAAGTTCAGCAACTGTTAAAAAAATTCCAGAGATGTGTAACTTCACTGTTTTTGTATGAAATACCAATTTAGCAATCAATTGTTTAAAAAAGCCATATACCACCCCTCAATCCCAAGCGCCATAACTAGTTTGACTTTTTAAGCAAGGCAACAAAACAGTATCAGGTTATCTGAATCCTTTCAATGCACTCGTTCTTGAAGACTACCAAAAAAGTAGTAAAATGGTTCAATACAATTCATAGCAGTGAGGCAGCCACTGCGAGATCATAGCTAATACTATCTTTTTGAGTGTTACAGATAGTCAACAGATACCAGCTATCAAAGTCTCACTGTATGTAACAAGAAAGATAGCTTTTTCCTTGACGTTAACCCTCCATATTGGGAACAAGGTCATTGGTGGAGTTGTGTGTGTGTGGAGAAAATATATGGGTGATTTCCAAGTTCTTGCTTCATAGAAAAATAGCATTTTTAGTTGTTGTTACCAGGCAGCAAATTCTTTTTAAATGTAGAAGCTTAGTTGAAAAGAATGATTATGATATATGAGGTGTGCTGTCTGGCAGTTGGAGTTGGCAAATAATGTTATGGGTTATAGGACTTGTCTGTGCCAGACCTTCAAGATTTCAGCACAGACTTTGTGGTCAAGGTATGGATGCTGCCTTAGTCATAAACCGCTCCAGGAATTACAGTGATCATCTATTATAACGTGTCAGCAGTTTCAGGGTTTTTATTTTCACTGAAGGCTATCTTTGGCCTGATGAGGTGCTCAGATCTCTGTGGTGCCATTCTCAGTCTTTGTTCCAAATGTGTTGCCTTTTCCAGCCTTAGCTAAATATTTATTCTAATGTTTGTACATCAGGAAGACTTTTAGTCACGAGGCCAGAAATAGTTCTAAATACATTTATAATAAAGGTTGGAAGGGGATGGAGTGAGAAGCCTTTTTGGTTAGGAGAAATGATACAGGAGATGATTTTGCTGGCATTCAGAGGGACCTTGACAGGCTGGAGAAATGGGCCAACAGGCATCTCATGCAGTTCAACAAAGGGAAAGGCTGAGCCGTGCACCTGGGGAGGAACAACTGGTACAAACTGGGGACAGCTGGCTGGAAAGCAGATTTGCAGGGAAGGACCTGGGGGTCCCAGTGGACAACTGAGTGACTATGATCCAGTGATGTGCCCTCGCAGCAGTGAAGGATGGTGGTGTCCTGGGCTGCAACAGGAGGTGTGTTGGCAGCAGGTTGAGGGAGGTGATCCTTCCCTTCTGCTCAGCACTGGTGAGGCCACACCTGGAGTGCTGTGTCCAGTTCTGGGCTCCCCAGTGCAAAAGAGTCATGGACGTACTGAGTGTGTCAAGTGAAAGGCTGCAAATGCATTTTTGGGGATCTTAAATCATCTGGTATGAGGAGAGGCTGAGTGATCTGGTGGTCTTTAGCTTGGGGAAGAGAAGGCTCGGGGGGATCTTACCAGGGTATATAAATACCTGATGGGGGTTGTAAAGACAATGGAGCCAGGCTCTTTTCAGTGGAGTAAAGTGACAGGACAAGAGGCAATGGACACAAATTGAAATACAGGAATTTCCACTTAAGCATAAGAAGAAACATTTTTGCTCTAGGATGATTGAACACTGGAGGAGGCTGCCTAGAGGTTGTGGAGTCTGTGTTCTGGGAGGTGCTCAAAACCTGACTGGATATGGTCGTTGGTAACTGGCTCTATTTACCCTGCTTTGAGCAGTGATGGTTGGACTAGACAATTTCCAGAGGTGACTTCCAACCTCAGCTATTACGTGATTCCATGAAATGATCAGACAAGGAGGGATTTCCTTCAGTTTTGCTTCTCCAACTGTTGATTGTTCTTCACTGCAGGTGTCTCAGCTGTTGGACACAAGTGACTAATAGGTTTATAGTGAATTTGGCAGTCATTTCCAAAAGCATCCCTTCTGGAGGGGACAAAACCTGTTCTTTTTCCACACTAATTTAAGCGTGATTTGGTTTTTTGCCTTTTTTTTTTTTTTTTAAGGGTGTGTCACTGGGAAAATTTTGCGTTACTCCAGCATTTTAGCGCTCATTTTTATCTTGTGCTACAGACTGAATGCCAGTGCTTCTCTCTTCTATTGCTCAATTTTTTCCAAAGAGCAGCAGAATTTGATATTTTTTTTTAATAAAATTGTGGCTGTTCACTGTATTCAGAATGCATGGATGGAAACTGTCTGTGACTGAATACTTTCACTCTGCTGTAGCTTGGCAAAGCTGTAGGAGTAAGTAGTCTTGAGAACTCTGTTCTTGTGGAAGGCTGGGCAGGGCACGTTCTGGTGGGTTACATCTGGTCTGTCTTTGGCACATTCTTTTCAAAAAAAAAGCCCCATATAAAGTGGTAAAACACTTCAAAAATGGTAACATATTTTAATGAAACTAATGGATCTGTCGAAGAGAGCTTAATTTTTCCTATATAAAAAAGAATAGAGATAAGCACTAATCTCTTCCACTGTGCAAAACATGGAAATCAAACTGGTGATTTTCAGACTGTAACAGTCAGTTGAACACGGTAGCCTTTGCAGTGTAAGGTGTGTCAATAGGCTAATATGGAGATAAAATTCCAGATTGCCTGTATATTATGGTATGCACATTTCTGACCCTTCAACTTGTAGTTAAAAGATTTCTGATTTTTTTTTTCCTCTGCTTTGTATAGATGGAAAATAGCTTTCTCAGCTTTTTGAGATGGGGAAAAAAATAGACCATTTCAGGAACAGACTGACAACTGGAGATATGAGGCGTAGTCCATTATCTTTTTCCCCCTCAGTCGTATAGGCTGATAGGGTATCACTAGCAGCCTTTCTTTATTGTTAACTTTTTAGTGTATGGTTTCAAATTATAATGATGTGCATCAGAGATCTCTGTAGTAATGTAGCAAAGTCGTGAGTCTTTTTTTCTTTTTCTCCCCACAGGTATCAAGCATGATGGGACTATGTGTGATACTTGTCGACAGCAACCCATCATTGGCATCCGATGGAAATGTGCTGAATGCACAAATTACGACTTGTGCACAGTTTGCTATCATGGGGACAAACATCACTTGAGGCATCGTTTTTACAGAATTACTACACCAGGAAGTGAAAGGTAAACATAATTATTTTTTTTCCCCATGAAATTAAACAGGAACAGTTAATTGTGGTTAACTTTTAAAATGCAGATTTGGTTACTGAAACTTGGATTAGGTAAGATGGTGGCTTGAGGTGCAGATTTTGTTGCTGGTTCTCTGCCTCTTTGTGAGGGGGGGTAGCTAGGACAGATCTTTGGAGCTTGGAAAACACGGAAATTTTAGAAAGACTGGAATAGAGAAAAAAGGATATGATTATTCAGTTTCTTTTAACCTTGTTGCAGTCTTCCTAGTTCGTGTGTTATATAGTAGCTTTAAAGCAAAGGCAATTATCTTTATACAATGTGTAATCACAAAATGATTTGTTAATGAATTCCTGAATGTGAAAGTTTAATTAGGTTCAAAAGTGGTGTAGACAGATTGAGGGAAAATATCCTTCCTGTGGGCTATGAAAAACAGACTGATCTGGAGAGACAAACCCTCCGACTTGAACTGCTTAAAGTGCTCACTACAGAAAGCTGAGAAAAGACAGGATTGTTCTACCCTTGCCTTGGTTTTCATGTTCTTTTCTTAATCATCTATTATTGTCTCCCAGCGAAGAACTCTGAACAGAATTGGCATTTAGTGTGTTCTTGCATAGCTGTTCTTGATTATTAAATAGCTTGTCTAAATTCAAAACCCCTCTCTGTCATGATTATTCTACTGGTTAAGTGAGAACAATGATACTTGCCTGTTGCTGAATACTTGGAGAGCTATGGTAAAGCGTTCCGTGAAGGCTACATGCTGTGGTATCACCTCTGTGGTAACTCTCCAGAATGTGTTCTTTCATTAAATCATTGGAAGCTTTTTTGTTAGATATGATACTCAGTTAAATGCGACATGTGTAAGGCAACATTTATTTCCTCCTCTCGGAGAAGTAAGGTTTACAAGTATGTTGTAATTCAGTTGATATGCTTTTATCAGTGCTCTTACAGTTAAGGGAAGTGGTTGGAGCACACAAACTTCAAGTTATCATATTGTGTCTTGTAGGGACTGTGTTTATTTTCTCAGATGTTTGCCTTTAAGTTTAACTATAGCTCAAATGCCCAGGTCAGTGTCTTAATCAAAAAGTAAGTTCTGTTTTTGTGAGATTTATGCCAGCAGATCTATGTACCAGCTAGATATCATAAGCTTAGTGTCTCAGTTATAATGTTCTAATGAAGAACGTGACTTAGAAGTTGAATCCAAGAGTAGAAAGTGCTGGCTTTGTGTAATTAATGGAGAATAGGTAACAAAATACAAATCTGTTTTTCTATTTCTTTTTTTTTAAATTTCATTGCTTTTGAGAGTGCTTGCCAGACTTCTTTTTTTTTTTTTTTTTTTTTTAGCTGAAGTTTCCTTTGTAGTTTTAAGTGGTCTGTTCTGGTGTATAAAGTGTAATTTTTAGTTTTGGAGATAAATTGTATGCAATTGCAGGAAATCTTTTGCATCTTGTTACTTTCTCCCTATCTTTGTTTACTCCTGTTGAGCTCTGTTTTGCAACTCTTATCTAGAAGGCAGCTTCATCTACCAAGGAGCTGTTTCTATCCAATAAACTTAGCTGAGAAAACTGTTTGAGGTAGGAGAAAAGGGCAAAGCAGAGCTATTGAATCTGGGGGATATCTCACAGAATAAATGGCAAGAGGCATCTAAGGACATCTGGATGAAGGAAAGCATGAGCTCTACCTGTTTTATTCTTGAGTCTCAGATATCATAGGGGCAGCATGCCAAAGTAATGTACACTGTTTTTTCTCAGCTTTGTATGTGTTGAGATCTTTCTAAAAGGCTGCTATAAACAACATATCTTTGTGTTTTCTTCCACTCTTTTATATTACTTAGATAAAAATGGCTAATATTTCCAACAGTTTAACTTTTTCCTTGTCTGCCATCTGCTGGATGTTAGAAGTTTAGCAGGAGGGCGATAAACTTCCTGAAGAGGTCAGGAAACATTCAGAATTTCAGCTGAAAAATACTTTTGTCTGGCGTGAAGTAAGAAATCTGTTTGCAGGCAAACTGGTGGCTTTTGAGATGACTGAAAAGGCAGGAAAATGTTTGTCTCGTCGTTTCTATTTGTAAGTTAAATGCTCATGAACTGTTCTGTTTGGGCTTATCTACTTCAGTTCTGTTGAAGTCAGAGGGAGAGAAAAGGTTTGCTTTAGAAAAATAACATACTATGACTGAAAAGGATGGATGCTGATATACTGAATTAAATTTCCCAAGATATGCTGTTAGAAGTATGTAGAAAATAAACTGAGACATGGAGGGGAAAGAGAAGTAGCTCTTACATAATAGCAGAATTCTGAATAAAAATGGCAGGGCAATTGTGGGACAGTAATATTGGCCTAGAGTGCATCTAAGAGAAACAGAAATGTGTTGTTTATGTGACTCTGTATGTTAATGATTTTAATAATATGAGTACAGATCTATAGGTAAGTGGTTACAAGATTATTGCTGGTAGTAGGAAGTTTGGAGAAGAAATTATCATTAGAATTAAAACCAATTAAAAACATAATAAATCTGATTTAGGAAGATCATGGTTTTTTAATCTTGTGGGCTGCTGTTCAAGTTGAGAATTGAATGGATGCAATTCATGCACTGAAATCTGTCTTTGTGGGGTTACTTTTGTTTCAAGATGCTATCCTTCCTTTCCCATCCCCAAAGATTCATTTTGGATTTTCTTTATTATCTTGACATTTGTGGGTTCTTCTTTTAATAACTTCAGGGTATTGTTGGAGTCTCGACGTAAATCAAAGAAAATTACAGCAAGAGGAATCTTTGCAGGTGCCAGGGTGGTGCGAGGAGTTGATTGGCAATGGGAAGATCAAGATGGTGGCAACGGGCGTAGAGGAAAGGTAAAAATAAAACTGATTTAAATAAGATGATGCATTTCTGCATGGTCATGTGATAGCATCAGTGGCCTTTCTAATTGTAGAGTAAAAATACCATCATAAAAGTTAGTATTTTAATTCACTGGACACTTTTAAATCTTACTCCGTAATCATAGAATCATAGAATGTTTTGGGTTGGAAGGGACCCCTAGAGGTCATCTAGTCCAACCCCCAATGCTCCAGCATTTAGAAAGAGGAGGAGTGGTACACTATGACCAGCACAAAATTTTTAAAACTAATAAATTTTTGTCTTGGTTATTCTGTTTAAGACTGGCTTGTAACAACATTAAGATCTTGGGCATATTTCAGCATTACTAGACAGCTGGTATAAAAACAGCTCTCAAGAACAGCCCTTTCTGGTCATCACCATGTTCTGTAGTTCTATTGCTTGTGGGTCAGCACATTTGTGTATCTCTTGCTCTTGGTTTTCAGTGCTCGGACCCTGGATTTTTGTTTTTATTTTTTTAATTATAGAAACTTTTCCAGTTTAAAATTTAAAACTTCTCAAATGTTGGATGTGGATATTATATTATTGGCTTAGGACATTGTATGAGTGTTTGTGATTTGTTGTCTGATAAAAATACTTGGATTTTTTGAAAACTGCATGGAATTATATGTTGCTAATCATAATCTTTGCAAATTTTCCATTTACAACTTGCATTTACCTTGAGAACTAATGAAGGTTTATTATAAGTATGAACATACAGCAGGGAGTGTAAAATATACGATAATTTTTATCGCTAAATATGAGATGTTCTAGAAGGAGAATTGGATGGCCTTACAGCTTAGTGAACTGGTGGATTTTGTTGCATTTATTTTTAGTACACTTAAGCAGCATTTAAAAGAAAGTTAAAAGTGTCTGAATAAAGTATTTAGCCTGTTTTATATCCTAGACATTTATGGAAGCATTAGGACTTTTGGGGGTTTCATCTTGGATTTTACTGAGAGGAAATAATGAATTTAAATCTCTTAAAGCAAGGGATATTCAGATGCATCTTTTTTCATCATTGTTATTTACCCCTTGCTGTGAATTTGGCAAGATATTTTGAAATCTCTGAAACCTGCAAAATATAAGAGTCTTATCCTGCATTGTCTGCTAAACTTGAATTAATGGGATTATTTGCAAGCTGAAAATATGTAGAAATGTTTTTAATGAGGAAAAGCAGATGGTAGATAGCAGAAACAGCTTTTAAATAAGTACAGATAAGAATGAAGATAAATTCTGGAAATTGACTTTTTTGAATAGTGGAAATGTTTTCAGAATTTGGAGCATGTCCTCATGATTTCAAAAATGTCAGGGAAAGTCCTTTCCTCCTTCTTTTGTACTGTTGTTAAACAGATTGGCTCTGGAAGTAAAACTTTGTCTCCTAACATTGTGTACCACCACCAGGCTAATGCAGGTTAAACCAAACAAATTGAAGCAACTAAAACAGTTTTCATCATGTTTTTCTTAGTTATATGCTGTTTCAGTAACATTTCAAAGCATCATAAAATAAATTTTTACAGTTCAGATTTTGTTCTCTATTTATGTAGTTAGGTTACCTACCAAATATACAAAAGAAAAATAATTCTGCAAGGTATATATTCAGGCTGCCATCTTATTAAGACACCTAGGGAACGCTTGTATCAAACAGAGAACAGCTTCAGAATAAATTTTATTCAATTCAGTAAAACTGCTGTACCCTGAGTTATTCTGAAGATGTGAATAAGGTTTTAACTACAAATTGTTCTTTCTGAGTCTTTGTTCTAGAAATAATTTTCTTATTTTTAAAACCAAATAGGTAACTGAAATCCAAGATTGGAGTGCGTCAAGTCCACATAGCGCAGCATATGTTCTTTGGGACAATGGTGCTAAAAACCTTTATAGAGTTGGCTTTGAGGGCATGGTAAGTATAAAAGAACACGAAGGGTAAAATGCATGGTGGGGGAAGGGTAGTAAGAATAACTTGTTGTGCTTTATTATCCTGCTTTTATAACAGCCTTTGTCAGTTTGCATGCTGTTAGGTCACTGTGAATACAGCTGTATGGATCATGCATATGTATTAGGAAGAAAATCTGATCTGGGAATCTAGAAAACGTGAATAACTTAAAGTTAAGGGCTGGTTTCTGCCAGAGTATAGTAAATATTTACATTGCATACATGATTACCTTACTGTGCTACTATTGTGCTTAAATTAAAATTCTGAAAAGGAAAAGCAGCTTAGTCATGAACTTTTTAAAGACCCTATTTCTTTAACTCCTGAACACTTCAGTTCACTTCTGATTTTGGTGTGATTCCTGCAAGATTTGCAGTTTTTCAATTACTGGCAACACTCAGAATCCTCTTGAGAGCAATTTTTTTTTTTTGTCAGTGGAAAGGTGTTGAATTAAGTTACAATATTAATTTGCTTTAGCACTAAATTTTTCTTTTTCACTTCCTAGCTTCTACAGCTACTTCTACAGCTTTAGAGAGAAAAATGGGTCAGACTTCAGCCTAAGTGCCTTCTGTTGCTGGGTTTTCATATCCTAATGTGGGTCAGGGAAAGGTTACTTGATTATCAACTGCTCGTAACATCTTAATTAGCATTTTCTTTGCATGGTTTTCTTTTTTGATACTGCAGAGTGTTACGATGTTAACATTGAAGTGTCATCTTGTCAGATGCGTATCAGTAATAAAATGTTAAACAACGACTAGTCTACTTTTTTGAAGTAAAATATTTTGTCTTATAGCCTTAGTTGAAATAATGAATATTAGTCATAATAATAAAAAATATATGCTAAATACCACTTTTGCAGTAAATACATATTTTAGTGTCAGGTTTAAAAAGAGTAAACATCTCTAATGTGGGTCAGCTTTTCTGATGCATTAAGATGCTAAGGATGAAATGTAAGTCAGTATTTAATTATGACCTTCATGGTGTCCCCTCCCCCAGTTATAAAGAAAATTCCTTATATACTGGCAAAAGAGAAAGTAAGTTATGTGGAGTATTATATTATTAAACCAATGGTTGGCATCTTCCCCCTTATATTTGATTGTGATGCATGGAGAAGGAGCAGAATTACACATTCTAGATAGAATGAGATACAGATCAACTGATTTTTTTTTTTTTGGTTGCAATTTCAGTTGCTGTGCTAAAATTTGTGCACTGCATAGTAGGACTGCTGTGGAATCATGAAAGATTCCTTCTGGCCTGAGAAAAAATACGTTTAAGATAAGGTATATTCTGCTCTGAAATAGTTATTCCCTTAATATAAATATATTTTTATTGTAAGTAGGCTATAGTCTGTTGCCACACTATTGCCACATAAGGGAGTGTTAGGTATTTCTGGAATACTTGGTTAACTGCTGCAACTGTAAATTTGAGTGGATAAGGGTGACCCTTCCCACAAGATTTGGACAAATAGAAATATTTGGTCGGTCATTTAATTAACAATAAAAACCTGTTGAAATGTTTGTGAAAGTACATGTATCCATCCTATATATAGGATAATATATAAACAATATATGTACATACATAGGTATAAAAAGGATAATTTGAGGCTTTCTTTATATGTAGTGCGTACCTGATTTTAATCCATTCCTACAATAATTTTGTCTTTATTGGATACTTTTATCAAATGCAGTTTTCACTTCAGACAGAATGGATTCTTGGATATCTGTGACAAATGGTCATTTGAATGTAAAGCTAGATTTTTAGAACTGATTAATTGCTTGCCAAGTGTACAATTCATTACGATTATTTACTACTATTTATGTGCTGTTATGTAAAGCTGCCTAATAGACTGTCAGGAACTTCATGTAAAGTTGGGATAAACTTGCCTTGGGATTTAGAAATTGGATAAGAAAGTCCTGAGAATGTGGACTCAACAATACTTGGTGTGTGCCCATGTAAATACAGCTGGGGAGAGACCCCTGCTTGCAAATGAATTACACTTGACTCAGACGCAAATGGAGCTGATTAAAGAAACACAGCTTATTATTGTAAGTCAGGGTTGCTTGTTTGATAGCTGACAGGCTGCATCTGGTCCTCAAAATTAATCTATCTGGCCTGCCAGCTTTTCCTTGGGAGAGACAGGACTGGCTGGTGGGGCAGCAGGTGCTGGCTGAAAACTTGCATTTATTTGTGGCCAGATCCTTTGAGTTTTTATTTGAGTTTGCTGTTGCTGTGTTTACATGTGAAGTGGTTGAGAGGGGTGCACCTTGCCTTTCTTTGTGAAGCCTGGCAATTTAAATCTGGGAGTTTCTGCTGCCACATGCCACAAATTCCCAAACTGAAATCTGTCTTTATGATACTGTTAGGTTGAATAACGTTTGCTACATCTGTAGTAGCAATAAAGTACTGTTGGCTAATACGGTTATTGACACTGCTTGCATTTTATATCTATATATATTCAGATTCCAGGGCCAGACCAAGCTGTTAACCTCATTACCTGCTTTAGAATGGTGTGAACATAGCCTTTTGCAATAAAAAGATACACTATGTGGTATTAGAGAGTTCATGAGAAGATTGTGATTTAGCTTTTTGGCCTTGTTTCTAGTTTCGGTTTCTTCATATCGCACAGCTTGAGGATCTAAAGCTGGTAACTTCCATTGGTTTTCAATAAGCATTATACTCTACTACTTACTAATATAATGATTTTGCTATAAAAACTTATGAAAATAGTTCCATCAGCATGAGTGCCCTAAATCAGTTTCATTGTTTAGGAACCAGTTTTGTGCTACCAAATTTCTTTGCTCTTGCCTTTTTTTGCTGTGATTAGCCTCCTCTTCTTGTTTTTCATTATGGAGGATCTTGCTTTCATCTGTGTAGCCTCTGAAAGAAGTAACTGTAGTTACCATCCATCATTGTCGCAGTAATCTGTAAGCCATCTGTGTTTGTGTACTTTTTTCCATGAATTCTGAATAGTTGAGTGCATAAGGGAAATTGAGAAGATTCCTTGCCCTTGTGTTTTTGACGTTACTTTAAATTTTCTTATCCTGATTGATACTTAATGTCTGTTCATCAACATTTATTTGGGTTACCCTTAACGATAATCCTTGAAATTACTCCAGAGGATTTTAAGAATGACTTAACACTTTTTTTTTTTTAATAAAAACAAGGTAAATGTCTTAGCATACTGGGCATTGCAGGGGAGTGTTATAAAATATATAGAAATATGCTTTCTGCTGCAGTTACGACTGTCAGTTCTGGAATGCAAGTCAAATCTTGAGCTCTCTAGTCTGTCTTGTCCCCCTAAAATGAGGGATTTAGGAAGGAGCAACAAGAAGTGTCATGATTTTGCTAGTTTAGCGTCCTTCTGTGGCTTCTAGGTGCTGATCAAAACTGATTTAAAACAGGAATATGAATTTTGGCCACCTTTAAATGTGGAGCAAGTGTTCTTTATTACATTACTCACAGTGTAGCCAAAGTTACGTGGTTAGTTGTTTTGGAATCCAGAGAGGAAGGAGATATTTATATATACCTTGTGCATTTATTTGCATTTGTCAGCAGACTTTGTTTCGCTTCTTGTTTACATAGTCTTATTTCTCTACATTTCTCCTGTAGTCTCAACCAAGCCAAGTTTTTCATCTCTCTGTAACAGAGTTGCTTAGAAACATATTTCCGTTAAGCAGAAACGTACTTACTGATCCTTTTCCAATTTTGTTATTTACAGTATTAACTCACAGGGAAGACTTTTAAATGGTCCTCCTTAAAAAAAAAAAAAAAGTTACACATGGCAAGTTTTTGTAAGTGCCTATAATCAGTAGATAGTAAGGTTATAAACCGTTCACTCAGGATCTGCCTGAGATCTGATTACTTCTATAAGAAGCTGTTGCTATTGTTTTATACCTCATACCTCTTTGTTGTCCTTTCAGTCACCTTCTTTACCATCTTCTATTTTCTCTTTTTATTGCTTTCACTTTTCTCAGCTGCTTGAAACCGAAAATGATTCGAGTTCATTAAATTTGAAATACAGCATTTCTTATAAACCTTTCACTAAAACTTGTGGATTTATCCAGTCCCATGCTGTCTTAATCAGGTGACAAAGCAGCACGCACTGGGCTTTCTGCATTTGCTCTGTAAGGGCTTATTTCCTTGCCAAAAGCTGTTGTGGGTTTAAAGACTTAAAATGACCTTTTAAAAGGGTGTATTCATTGCTACCTCAAACACCTGCAGCTGTGGCACTATTCCTGCTGGTGTATCTGTAAGATCAGTATTAATTTCTCTCCTAGTATTTGCTGCTGGTATTAGATGCTATTTCAGTGCATCTGGATCAACCATTCTTCTTTTTCTTAGCAGCTCACCTAGTTTTCTTACCAAGTCTGTAGACTCCCCTCCCTGGTTTTGATGGATGGCGTTCCATATTGATTGGAATAACTTAATGGTTATTCCAGTAGGCAGCTGCTCCTTCAGCATTGTTTTCCTCTTCAAGGTCAGGAATGATGGTGCTTCTATACCATCTGCCAACGCTGCTGACATTGTTGTAATGTGCATTTTTTCATTCTCTGAAGTTTTTATGATCATGAAATTGCTGCTGTTTTTTCATTGGTATAATTGGATGGTAAGTCAAAGTAAACTGTTATGTTTTCTGTATTTCGCATTTGGCTGAGCAGATCACAGTCTCTATGTAATCCAGTCACATATGCTGGAATGCAAAGAGTTTTTCACCAAGTCAGAAGGTAGATGCTAGAAGACCACAGTTCTCTGCTGTAGGCAAAAAACATTATTACCCACTGTTCACGGGCATCATCTGTCACTACTGATCTGAAAGTCCTGCTGTGCAATGTTTTGTGCTCATGCTGTTCCTTGCGTTTTCATTATAATGATTTCCTGCTATAACTGAGGCTTCCATGTCGTCTTTAACTACACAAATTCCACAAAATCTGTAGCTTGTTTTTCTGTTTCTTGAAAGAATCCTATTCAGGGTTCATTGAATGATTTCTCCATCAAGTTAGTGTATAAAAGCTTATGCTTCGTTTTCATCTTTGCACGTTTGTCTCCACCACGTATTTATACCTACCCTCACAGTTGTTACTTCTTTTTCTGTGCACAGTGTGACTGTGAGCCTAAAACTTGTGTTTTAATATCCCTTGTGTTTTGGTAGAGTCTCTTTTGCACTTGTATGCCTCATCTCCAAACGATCAGCTATTTCAATCCATTTACAAGACTCGGGGAGACTCATAAAACTTGTAAAAAAAAATCCTGGTGGGGTTCTCTGATGTGCGGTACAGCAGAGACAGCAGGAGCGATGCACTGGCAGCCTGGCGTGGCTGGGCTGCAGCTGTGTTTGTGCTCCATCCTCACTAGGGGGGCCTCTTGCCACGCAATCCCCAGGGGAGGATGATCAGGAGCTTAACACCACCCCTCATTTTTTACTTCAACTGCTTGAGCAGAAGACAACTTGTTTTCCTTTTCTGATAAATATAGTAGCTGAGTGCTAGACGTAGAATTATAGTTGCTCACCCAGCTTTCATGGTACTGAAGTACAACTAAGTACGGTTTCCTGTCTTAAAACTCCAGGACCCTTTTTTGGTTATGTTTTTTTAAGACATTTGCAGGCCTTTATCATGTTGATTGTTGCTTTTCTTAATAGTGCTGTTTGCAAAGTTGCTGACATAACTCTTTGCTGTATATACAGTATGTGCAAGTTAGTTTCATACTGCCTTAATCTCTGTCAGTGCCTCATCTTTCTGTGTGTTTTGAGTCCTCAATTTTTTTGGTGAAGGCTCATTAAAAAAAGCAACCATGTTACCTTGCTTTTCTGTAATACTTACATCAGACACTTGTTTTACTCTTTAGTGATCTAACATTGACTTCGCTATGTAAGTGAAAGGAAGACGGATGTGAAGCTGAGGTTCAACATCAAGCTACCACTTAGTTTTACAACCGAGTATATCATTATACTCCAGAAATAAACTATGTGTAGGGCACAGTAGGCAGGGTAAAAAAAGAGAGCAGATTTATAGATTACTGGTGGTGGTTTTTTTCCCCTGTAAAACTTAATGTGTCTTAATCTGCTTCCTAATAATTTCTGTTGCAAGATAGTAATTAGCCTTTTGCTGACTATTTTATTTCTTCTGATAGCTGTTAGCCATCAGTCTGCTCTGTATGTTAACACTTGCTGTAATGCAAGCAATCTTTCACCCAGATTTTGCCTGGCTGGGAGGAAAACCGTGTAGGACCCTCCCGCGCTCTATTCTTAATGCTCTGAAGAATGTGGAAACGGCTCTTGCATGTATACCCCTTCTTGACTCCCGTGCAGACAGCTGGCTGCTGCATGACACGAAGAGTTCGTATTCAGTGGGTGAGCCCGAGCACTCCCAGGCACATTAAATCTCTTGTTGGTCTGGGGGAATGAATCAGCTTGCCATCTGGGGCGGTCAGCGCAGCCCCTTTGTCTTCGGCCGAGTTAAACCAAGCACCTGCCTACCGTGTGGCAGCATTTTGTGGCAGGCCTGCTGCTGCCAGGCTGAACAAACTCTATTTCTCTGATTTTTCATAGGATTTGGAGAGTAGCTAAATCTCATTTTCATCTGGCTGTTTTCATCACTTTTTGAAAATCATCTCTTTTTCAAAAAGTGGTGGTACATTCTTCGTAGATCAGGATATACACTGATTTTAATGTTCTTTCTGGCTGCTCAGCCTACTATTGCTGAGGGTAGTATTGTGTTTGTCAGTGCCTTGATGGGTTGGAGGACTTGAGAGTTTTCATTTCAATCCTTTTGCAGGAGCACGGTCTGTCAATAAATCTTGGGTGTGGGAAAAATAATTGTTAAAGTATTTGTTTAGTTCTGGTTGATTATATCATAACCACCACCTGTCCTCTATTTCCTCCCCCATCTCATAGAATATTCTGACACATTTTGCAAACAGTTTCCTATCTCCTTCCCAGATCATCGTGTGCACAAAATGCCCTTTGTCTAGTGACAATTGTTCCATAAGGAGCAATAGCAGATGGTAACCACTTGACTTTAGGCAAAAAAAGAGAGGAAAGGGGAATTATAGGAACTCCACTGGCTTTACGAATAGGAGCTGGTTATCATACTTGAAACCTGTTTCTCAGATGATAATAACCAAAGTCATTCTGGATAACGAGCTTTAGAACTTTTCTCTTTAAAAAGATCATGTTTAGCTCAGCACAGTGGCTTGTTTTTTTAAAAAAAGTAATATTCTTCTGTTCTGTATATTCTTAATCAGAAATTTTTCATTTTGTAGAATTTGGGTGCTAGGTTTTCCTCTCTAAGTTAAACATGTATCTGTCAAAAAGGGTTAGGAAGAGAGGGCACCACTGGCAGGCATTAAATGATTGGTACAGGAAAGGCTGTGGCCTCGAGCACTGTAGATTTTTTTCTTTCTTTCCTTGCTTGTGTTTTTTAAAAGGAAATGTAACTTTATAGAACAATGCAAAGGAGCTTAGTGTTATTTTAATACCTTCCTTTGAGTTAAAAATGTCTCATCCTTTATAGCATTTTTTTTATTGGTAAAGGCTATTAAAATCTTGAGAATGTCAAGGCTGATAGACTGGAAAGTATTTGAGATTATATGCATCAGTAATGAATTCATGGGGCATGTTTTTTGTACACATAATTTTCAGCCTTTCTTAATTGAGTGTATTTTGGTTCTAATTTCACTGACTTATGTTAACCTGGAGACTCAGTCAATGAGGACTAAAGTTGTCTCAATTTCTCTCTGTAGTCTGACCTGAAATGTGTCCAAGATGCAAAAGGAGGCTCTTTCTACAGGGACCATTGTCCTGTGTTAGGTGAGTTGAAGATAAAGTAAATTTGTCTTGACGTGTGTTAATTATACTTAGTCTGGATTTATCTTTAAATGTCATCTAAAACGACTGTCCTTACTAGAGAAATGTAAATGGTAACATTTGTATGCATTAATAATAAATCGTAACACTTTTCTAAATGCATTTGGTATCAGTGTGCCAAGGAGATGGCAAGGGAGCTGTTAAGTGTTGACTAAGTAATAAATTGAGTCACTAGTTGTGCACTATATTTCTGAAGAGCCAAACATAGCTGTGCATATTCTTATAAGACTCTTAAATATTCAGAGATGTTCAGTGAGGTAGCATGTGCATAGCCATACACAGGAGTCATTCGAACCTGTTATTTTATACTACTACATGTTGTGAAATCTTAGTTGAGGTTTTCCATATCAGCTATTGCACGGACTTATTCCTCTTGTGTCTTGGCTGGGCTGTAGACATGTGCAGGTGTATGACAAAAAATAATTGTCAGGTGTTTTGGTTTTTGAAATATGAGCAAGTTGGGATAAATTTTATAGATTACTGGACACAAATTTCTTAATTATTAAGAATTAATGGGAAAACACCTGGTCATGAAATTGGATGCTACATAAAATTTTGCTTTTCCTGAGTTTCTTTTTGTACTTCAGCGCATAAAAATAGCTGATAATACTGGCTTTTGTAGAGTGATGAGAATTCTCTATTTGCCAGTCTTAATCTAATTCCTTGCACAAGTGTTGGAATACGACCTGCAAGTGCTATTCTTTTGTTGACAGCATTGGTGAAAAGGTGAAAACAGTAAAGGTCTGTTTTGTTTAGAAAAAATACAGTTCTCCAAGAAGTTGCATAGATATTTACTCTCAATGTGATGAATTGTTTGAAAGTAAAAAGCCAAGGCACTGTGGTCTTTGTGTCTTGCTTCTGTGCTTAAAATGAATTTTGCTATTTTAGTCTGACATGAATAAAGATAGGAAAGTAGTAATAGGATCTTACTGTTTTTTTATTACACAGGTAAACTTAGGTTCTTATGCATGCCCTTTATTAATTTTTGTTCTTGCTTTAAAAGTACAGGTCTGTTTTCTGCATGTAGCTTACCTTTAGGGTGATATCATATTTGAATGCATGAATATTAACCATTAAAGGTAGTTGGAGACTATTCTTTGTTAAATTCTTCCCCTTCCACTGTATTAAGTTGCTCTTAAAGGATGATGATGAACTCTGTTCATCACTCTTACCACATTATCCTCCGTTTTCTCAGTCTTACTGTTTGTTAGAACATGTGTCCTTTTTATTTGTCTTCTGAATGTAGTTCACAGTTATGTTCATGCTGTGAATTTAAATGTATGCTTGTATTAAAAACTAGAAAGTGATTTTTGAAGTTTTGCAATATCCAAAGTAGAGTGCAAATAATATTCCAGCAGGGGCCTAATTAATACAGAGTAGTAAATTGTTGGGGCAAAATACTGGGACTGATTTTGTTCAGTACCACATTGGTGACCTTGATGATGAGATAGAATACAATCCCAGGCAATTTGCAGATGTTAGCAAAAAGTTTTGAGAAACTGGAGAGGGTCTGATAGTGGCCTGCTAAAGTGGTTAGGAGTCTGAGAGGACATGATTTGTAAGGAGGAGGAGCTGGGCTTGTTTAATCTGGTAAGAAGGAAGTTAAGAGGTAATCTACTAGCCACCTATGACCACTTGAAGGGTGATTGAAAATGATGGCACCAAAACTTCAGTAGTGGCAAATGGCATAAAAACAAACAGTAGTGGCCTTAAGGCCACCATAAGTGACTCAAGAGGTTCAGATCAGATATTGAAGACATTTTCTGTTACACTTACAGTTCTGTATTGCAGCACTGGAAAAAATTACTTGGAGAGGTTGTGGAACCTCAGTCCTTGGGGACTTTCAAGACTCAGATAGGCAAAGCCACAGCTGACCTCAGCTGGTTGTTAGTTCAGCTTTGTGTGGGGTATCAGACCAGATGACCTCTAGAGATCCTTTCCTCCAACTAAGGCTTCTATCATTCTTTGCTGGTTTATCTCCGTTTCTTAGACTTCCCTGTTTCATCAGGGCTGTCTCTGGGATGTTTGCTGTCTAAGTTTTCTATCTAGTGAGTTCCATATCAGTAGCTTTTCTGAAGAATTAATCCTTGACTTTGTTTGCAGAAGTGGCTTTTTTCCATGTTACGTGTGTTTTGCCGTGAAGGTGAAGGGTGCAGACTGAAAATAGCGTTCCATCTACAGGTCCTTCAAACTAAGAGCAGGACAGAAGGAAGTCACTGGGTGTTATAGAAGTCAAAGTCTGCTGAACATGAACATTTATTCATGGGCACGTTTCCTTTCTCAGCAGTTTCTTCTTCAGTAGTATCAGATTCATTTTTTCACCATTCTTTCCTCTGGAGGCTTTTAGTGCTGCAACTAGTGCTGCCAGCATCTGGTGTAGATTTCAGGCTCTGGAATCAGTCTCTCTCCAAATAGTGTTTTTGTTTCTATGTCAGGATATTTGTTTTTACTTCCTTCTTGTTACAGTGCAAGGACCCTGTCTCCATTATTACCTCTTGCTTGGAAGAGGAAAAACAAACACACCACACCACCCCCACTCTACCCCTCTGAGACAGCAGCATTACTAAAGGAACTCTGCTCACCCTGTCCTTTGCCACTGATGTTGCCATTGAACTCAATCTACATGACTTCTGCAGTTGTCGTACTCTTCATGGCTCTGTGGATGGCACCAGATACCATCCTCTGGTTCTGGCAGCGAGCAGGTCCACAAGTGTGTTCTCTCATCAGTTAACACAGCTTGATGTGTGTGAATGTATGCCATTTCCCTCCAGCTAATGAATTTTTGCTATGACACATCTTTTGAAAGCAGGCATTGTCCAGGGAGAAGTCATCTTCCCCACTTACAAGGTTAAAGATTTTCAGCGTTGGTTGCTTTGGAGGTATTCTTTTGCCAGTGCTTTCTCCACATTTGAGGACTGACACAATTCAAAACTACTTTCTGTGGGCTTTCTGCTTATTTTTCAGCCTCTGAGCAGATAGATGGCGCTTTGTGTATGACTCTCTCAAAAGTATCAAAGCTTTTATGTATCTAGATGTCTTAACACTGTATGATAGCTGCTACCATCCCAGTTAGAGCCCATGGTGGAGCCTGTCACAAGTATTTAGCATTTGTCAGTTTAATTGCTATTTGCCTTGAAAACTCAACAAGAAACACGCAATTCCATAGCCAGAAATTGAGAGTTCTTTTCAACCTGTTCACTCCCTTTTAGCTGTTGGCCGCTAAAGTTGTAGAGGCATTGAGTCTCAGAAATTAACTTCTGTTCCTGAAATTGTGTGGAGAATTAGTATGGTCATGTGAACATTTTCTTCTTATTCCATTTCAGGTGAACAAAATGGTAACAGAAACCCTGGTGGGCTGCAAATAGGTGACCTTGTAAACATTGACCTTGATTTGGAAATTGTACAGTCTTTGCAGCATGGTCATGGAGGATGGACTGATGGCATGTTTGAAACTTTAACAACAACTGGAACAGTTTGTGGCATTGATGAGGATCATGACATTGTAGTACAATATCCGAGTGGCAACAGGTTTGTTATATAGCCTTCATCATTGATTCTCACAAACTTTCTTTGCCTTCAGCACTTGTGATCGCTTGATGCCAGTAACTTTCTGTTCTCCCTTTGTGTCTATTAAGATTTTATTGAGAATTTTTGTATTCCTTCTACAATATGTAATGAAGACTTAACTTTAAAGATGCTTTAGTGGGGAAAGGAAGTTTGTTGCCTCTCTCACTTGGCGAAAATTTGAGTCCAAAATAAGGAATGACCCTCTACACTATCTTATTTCCAAAATGTAGTGTTTTAAGCATGATTTCTTTTTTAATTACAAAGTATCCCTTGGTTTCAAGGGGAGTGGTAATAGCAATGCATTGCGGGTTTTCAGGAAAATGGGTTAAGAGGACAGGTGACACTTTTTATGTGGGGGATCTTGTCTAATACAGAGTAACCTTGGCATGATCCGTATCTAGTGTTTTCTTACTCAAAGGGATGTTAGTTCATGTAAATATGGCTGAGAATAGGAAGTGTTGGGGCAGCTGTTGCCAAAACTGCTCTCTGCAAGCAGTTTAGGTCTGAAGTTTTATGAGCTGCATCCATGCTAACAGGCTTCAAACCCAGCTCTACAGCTGGATCTGAGCTGACATGTCCACGTGGTTTTATGTTGTCTTGCTCTCAAGTATTGGGTTTATCTTTAAAAAGCAGCTGATGAACGGAATATAATTTCAGTTGTATCTGGAGACTGACCTGCTCAGTCTGTCCAGAAAAGATTAACAGTGCATTATTCATTCGGTCTTTCCCTCAAGGTATTGTTTGTTAATATTGCAAAGTAATGCAAAACAAAGCTGTTTTCTGAGCTAACGCAAGCTGAAGTGGTGTTTCTTCTGAAAGTCATGGCTGCAGAGCCAATGAGAAGAGCTGCTTTATCTTGTGGTTTCCTCCCTGACTTTACCCTTTGTAGAGACTATCTGATGCTTCTCAACTAGATCATATAGCTGAATGAAAGTCAACCCAAGACCAAATGGCATGTAAAGGAGAAATTACCATATTATATATTAGAATATTACTCGGCATAGAAACAGCTAAATGTCTCTAAACCAGTAAAATTTATAGTACCAATTAGGATAGTTTGGTTAAAATTGACATGTATCTAGGACATCCATTTGCTTGAAGAGTATTTTTATAACTGAGTGTTTCAGCTTGTGAGTGGGGACAGAGGAGGCAAAATCCTGTGTTCTTCCATGCTGTGTCCTGATAGTCCAATCCTTGGATATTCCCCTTTTCAACCAGAGTCATCTCCTTCTCTCCCTGGAAAAATAAACTGTATAGCTACTTTCAGGACTACTATATTGTTGTTGGCTTGCTTCCCCTTAGGCAGGATATTTCTTTATTGCTTTGCAAATGTACGTCTCTGAAGGTTACCCTGGAAATATTCAACTAATGAGCCACAGACAAATTTATGGGCAAAAAATGGTTAACAACAAATATGCCATAGTATCCAATTGCAGGAAGTTTGTAGGCATACAGGCAGAATCTTGTCCAACAGATAATTTTTAAACATATATTTCACTTTGCATGTTTAAAATCTACTTTAAATGATTCATTGTCTAGGTGGACGTTTAATCCAGCTGTTCTCACCAAAGCCAATGTTGTTCGAAGCGGAGATGCTGCTCAGGGTGCAGAAGGAGGTACCTCTCAATTTCAAGTGGGTGACCTTGTTCAAGTATGTTATGACTTAGAGCGAATCAAGCTTCTTCAGAGAGGTCACGGAGAGTGGGCTGAAGCAATGCTTCCAGTAAGTAGTTGTATGTTTGGATTCATAGAACTGTAAAACTTTTATATTTCTAGTTATGGTTGGTAGTAATACCTGGAGGTTGTGGGAGTCAAAGTGATTTTCTTCTAAACTAGAGAAAGTGTATTTCATCAAACTTGGTGTGATACTTGCTCAGGTGTAGTAATCTGCTTGGCCTGATGAAGCTTAGCTAAAGATATTAGTGTCTGTACTATTGAACAACTGACTTCATAAAACTTGTGACTTGTTATAACACTCGGATTCCTAAATATTTTATTTTTAGTATTATTTGCATTTGACATTTTCTTTAATGCAGACTTTAGGTAAAGTTGGTCGGGTCCAGCAGATCTATTCAGACAGCGACTTAAAGGTAGAGGTTTGTGGGACATCTTGGACATATAATCCAGCAGCTGTCTCGAAGGTGGCATCAGCAGGATCTGCTATAAGTAATGCATCTGGTGGTAAGTTTGAAGAATAACCAATAATGTATGTACGGCAAGTATTTGTATTAAAAAATTGTTAACAAGTACTACTACATAGTTTGTATGCAAGGTTAATAATGCTCAGGTTTGGGTTTGGCTAATTGATCTTACACCTTAGAGAAAGATACAGGAAAAAGCCTGCAGTTTGTATGGAGATGTTTGTTGTTGTTGTCTTGATAAGGTGCAAAAACTCAAAATCGAATTTGGGTTTCTGTTTGGCCACAATGCAGGTATGTCTGTGGAGGTCTGCTCTAAGGACTTCAAATTTTGAATGATTGGAAAGGACATTAGATTGGAATAGGGACTAAGGCATGAAGAGAGTGTCACTGGCTGTAGGAAGCAGCATACTCCTTGTTTAATAGGTGATGTGGCATAGCAAGAATAAGCAAGGGATCTGTTGCAAGGAGTTACTCAGGATAAAATTCTTTCCTTAAAATTTCTAACTTAAAACTTAGTCAGACATCCTTTGACTAACTACAGTGGGATTTTTTTTTTTGGTGTCTGTGTAATTGCATTTGAGCCTCATTCATCTAATAATGAGGCAGAAAGACTATCCAATGTGTTTTATGTTATGTTGGCTATTTCGCAGGTCAATTAAACTAGAATGTTTTTCCTCTTTTTGGTCATAGCTAGCTGTTTTTTCCTTTTCACATATTTGCTTTAAGGCCAAGAAGTCTTTCTACATAGTTTTCTAGACTTTTTCCTAGGGAAGCATAGATACAGTGACTTTTCTGCAATAAGGTCACAGCAGCCATAAAACTAGCTAGAAGAGTAATATGATTTAGTGTTTCAAATCACGGAGGGCAGGATATGCCCTAAATTAAGCCAGAAGACTAAGCAGCCTGTTATACCAATATGTAAATTCATGTTTTTACCTCCTCCCCACCCTTCTGTGCTTTGTAGCAGACAAGCTATTTGTGGTTCAGTCAACTTCATTTTGAAGTGTCTGATGTGATAGTTGAGACTATCTAAAGAGTACTGGGGTGTGGCACTTACTCAGAACTGAGTAATAACTTACAGCTGCCATTTTACAGTGGTTTGTGTACTGCTGTGTACATGCCTTTGGAAACATGACAAACTTAGCTGTGATTATTTTGTTCTTGTATGATTAGAATTGTAATCTTCATTGTCCTTTGTTTAATAACTATAGAGAGATTGTCCCAGCTATTGAAGAAATTATTTGAAACCCAAGAATCTGGAGATCTCAATGAAGAATTGGTTAAAGCTGCTGCCAATGGAGATGTTGCTAAAGTGGAAGACCTGCTAAAGAGGCCAGATGTAGATGTGAGTGTTCTGGTTTGGGAGCACCTGTTCTGGGTATTCATAGTACTAAAGGAAGTGAAGTTGTCCTAGATGCTCCAGCCTCTGTCAGCCAGAGTTGGGGCAGAGAACCAAACACAATTAGCGAAAGGTCTTCAACTTCTTTTGTTTCTAGGGGATAGAAGGAAGGAGGGTAGATATGGGGGATTTTTTTGCTGCTGTTGTGGTGGGGTTTTTTTGTTTTGTTTTGTTTTTTTTCTGTTAACTGACGAGGTAGATCATCTAATCTGCTCTCTGAAGGATTCCTTTTACCAGCTTGTCTAATCACCTAGTAGTGAAAAGTCTGAAAGAAAATGCTTAGGGATTACCGGACTTGGTTCAGGGAGTATGTTTTAAAATCATAATCAGATGTTTTTCTTGCTACAGCAATAGTGATTCCTGCAGATAAGAGGCTAAATTCCATCAGTTCTGAGGACTGAATTGTAGCTCAAGATTATACAAAACATGGTATTTTGTTCAGACTGACTCCTGTTGTTGCCATAAATTAGAAAATGAAGTTAAATATACTGTAGAGCAAAGGACTGGTATCATTGAGACCTGTTCTCAAAATCTTGCCTTTACAGTAGCCCAAAGATAAAAGCTTTTAATACAGCTGTCATTAAGGTCTTAGTGTTTGAAATAAATCCATTTCTTGCCTCTTTGCTTTAGCTAATGCTATTGAAATGAAATAGGGAAGACCTAGGAGACTATCTATATGTGCCAGAAAGGCAGCTGTCTAAAAAATTGTTCATTTGATACTTTCATATGTGTGCTCTTGCTTTAATTTTTTTAATAAACTTGCATGTGTAGTACTAGAGTGGCTTGTTAAGTATGTGCGTACATCTTGCAACTTATCTTAAAGTGTTGGTATACTTCCAGGTGAATGGACAATGTGCTGGACACACAGCTATGCAAGCTGCTAGTCAGAATGGTCATGTCGACATTTTGAAGTTGCTTCTGAAACAGAATGTGGATGTAGAAGCAGAGGTAACCTAAATATTTCAAAACACACTTTGCGTCTCCTTAAGTTTTAAACTTTGCTACATACAGAAATAGCAATTCTGTTGAAGATGCCTTCTTTTTAAATGTCAGTGTGAGTGAAAAAACTTTTCTTACTGTGATTATCTTCCCAAATTAGCCTCCTACAAACAACTTTGCAAAAGGTAAACATCCAGTTCTTTAGCACCTCTAATTAAGTGAAATATAATGCTGATGTAATAGAGGTATGTAAGCTAGTATGTGATTGTAGTGGATGAAGCCCCTTCTTTATTTCCTTTATTTAATTTCAGAACTGGAATGCAATAGCTAGCACACTGCTTGTGCAGGCATTCACAGAAAAAGATGTTGGATGCTGCATTTCCAGCTTCAGATACTTATCATGCTTCTTATCTACAGTGTTCAGTTAGGAGAAAGTTTTCCATTCTTAACTAAAGCACATTTGAGCAGAAAGTAGTACCAGTATCTTTGAGTAGGAACTGCCAACTCTGTTTCCAGTTTTTCAGGGTTTGATATTTTTTTTGAACTTTTTGTTTGTGAGAAATTACCTGTCAGCATACTGTGTATTTGCATTTTGAATTGATTTTTGTGTTATTTACTTACACAGAATGCGCTGATATTGCAGCCCTTGCTCATTTTGTGAAGCACAAGAAGGACCTGTCAAACTTTCTTACTAAGAATATAAATTAAAGCCTAATAGAATGCTTAGAAGTCAATAGTGTATGCCCAGTCATTGTTGGCATAACAGAAAAATAACTTTATATGCTTGGGCATTTAGCTTTATATTGTGTTTGATATACAGAAGTTATAATATGTTAATACATTAATGAAGCTGTGATGTAATCTTGGGACTAAAATTATTTTTATATTCACAGATACACCATTACTTTATAAAGGTTTTCTGCTAAATGGTAAAGATGGCTTAACTTTGATGCAGTACACACTTGCTGTGGTCTTGATTTCTGTGAAGTAGCTTCATTTTAGAAGTAGCGCTTTCACTGCAGTACATAGCAATTACTGTTACAAACTAGACCAAGCTGCTTTTCATCTGTACTATGGGATCAAAGCTGCCATGTTAAGTGGTGGACTGATAATTTCTTCTCTGGTATAAGGAAGGGTTAGAAGCATTAGAGAGGGAAGTAGAACAGTTTCAAGCTAATACACCCTGTAATCAGCTGGCAGTAGAATTGTTAGGAGATTGCTCAGGCTTCAGACATATTGTAACACTAGCATTAAAAAAAAAATATTTTCAGGAATGTTTATTTGAATTTTCAAGACTTTTCATGTAACTTTAAGTTGTTTGAGTGAAGATTAAATTCCTAGTTAATATAATTTTGGTAATTATTATAATATTAATCATATATAGTATGATTAGATTGGAGATTGTGTGTTTCGGGCTTTAAAAATGTCATCTGTCTATAAATTAGTGATGTGAAGATGCAGCAGAGTCATCCCATTATGCAGAGAGCAAAAACATAGTCCGTTTACTTCACTGTTGTGGTCTGTGGCATGGAAGCAATGGATAAAAATCCTTACTTTGCCTGCTTTATAGCTAAATTGGATATATTTACACTTACAGTCACTGCTGTGGAGTATAAACATTCACAATGACATTTTCTGGGGATGCCCTTGTACTGTTGTTTCCTCTATGCTTATGTCTGACAGCTTGATGTAGAGTACAAGTGGCCTCTATTTAGTCAGAAAACAATTTGTCACTGACAGAGCTCAAAAAGCCTGATGTAGATGTTAATATGGTAAAAATATGTAGCCTTCTAGTCTGCAGGAATTAATGGGTATCAGTTATTATATTGTCAATACTGACAATATTATACTGTTGGCATGTATACAAATATAGTGCTTTTAATATTTAGATTTATAGCTAAATATAAGTCTTAGGTCAGATGCTTAATTAGTTGCTAGTTTTTTCTAGGTATATTAATATACTATTGTCTAGAAACAACACAGTTGGATTTAGCTCCTGAGATGATCTGTTTTGATGCTGAGCTAAAGAAAAAGGCATGTACTTTCTTGGACCTCTACACATTAAAGTAGGAATTCTATACATTGAGATTTTATAAAATCAGGGGTTGGAATAAGTTAAAACTGTAACGTATTTAATAAATTATATGGGGTTTCTTCAGTAAGTATCTCAGTGTACTTTGCAGGCTGCAGATAGGAAAAGACAAATTACTACACACCTGTGAAACGAAGTGCACTGTAAATATAAGCATTGTAGCAGTTTAACACTATTTATTGTGCTCTTGACAAGTTTCCCCTCATAATGATCTTTATAACCAGATGAGAAATACAGAGAAGTTCCCCTTTCTGACCCTTTCCCCTTCCAACTGGGCAAGCTTTGGCTTCTTTTGATTGTTTGTGTTAGATGAGCCCAAGAAGGAATCCTGCTCTCTTAGAAGACAATTTTGTGGCGTGAGTTGATTTGGAAGGCATAATATAATCTTGTTTTCAAAAGCTATTGAAGCTGCTGTTAGTGCCCTGACTGTCTTGACAATCATGTTCCTATTTCCAAAAAAATATCTTTGATAATTAGATGTCTCCTTCCATCATTTTTTAAATGCTGTAAATAGTCTCATTCTTATCTTGTAATTGTGCAAATACAATTTATTCTAAGAACTATTAATTTTTGCATTGATGTAAAATTTATTAGAAATATTAGAAATGTGTTACACCTAATAAAAATAACTTTTGGAAAACATTGCTGAAGGGGAAGCAAATTGATAAGAGAAACTAAGCTTACCCAAGCAAGACATCAGTGCACCCTTGATCAGTCATGATTTTATCTCCTCCTCACAGTTTTCAGTATTCCTCTACTGTCAAAATTAAATCCTACAAATACATAGTAATATCCCACTGTGCACAAAAATTTAGTTAGAAACTAGCTTATGGAAAGTTGTTATTTCATTGAAACCTCTTACGTACCCTCCATTTTACTTTTCGCTTTTATATACTGCCATTAATATTGAAATTACTTGATTAATATTTAAAAATGTTTCATGTTTCCACTCTTATGGATGTTAAAATAACCCCAACTGATAAATTTATGGCTTTCATACCTTAATTCTCAGTTTGGATGAAACAAACAGAATTTAATCGGAGCTTTAATGCTGTGAATCATCGTCATAGAATCAGAAGCTCTAATTAATTTCACCATCAATCCCAAATTTCTTTTGGAAAAGGTTTATTAACTGAAAATTAAGACATAATAAACACTAAGTATTGGCTTAATTGTATGAACAAGGCAATTCTCTTGTCTTATACCGTGATTTGGAATCTGTAACGCTTCCTGGTTTGCAGGAAGGGTTACCCTGGATTACTGGGTGTAACATTTCTGGGGGTTTGGGGTTGGTTTGTGGGGGGCTTTCTTGTTTTGTTGTGTTTGTTTTGGTTTGGTTTTTTTTCTCCCATGGTTGTTTTGTAGCAGAAGCCTAAATGAATCTGCTTGAGTTTCTGATGAACACGTCACACAGATTCAGGGTAATAGTTGTATGTGGCACAGAATATAATATGTCATAGAATTTATGTGTTTATTTATGAAGAGACTCTACATCTTCTATTGCTGTGGTTTGAGCAATTGTTTTAATTGGGTATTTGAACAGTATCATAGTTGTCTAGTTTTTCTTTCTCTTTAAAGAAAGCAAATATGCACAATGGTTCAGTTTAAATTCATCTTGTTTAAAGGTAAAGGAAATGTGGAATATACTGGGTCAAATTAATGTTTCTACTTTAGGACAAAGATGGAGATAGGGCCGTCCATCATGCAGCTTTCGGTGATGAGGGTGCTGTGATAGAGGTTTTGCACCGAGGCAGTGCAGATTTGAATGCTCGCAACAAACGCAGGCAGACTCCACTTCATATTGCTGTCAACAAAGGTCATCTGCAAGTTGTGAAGACTTTACTGGACTTTGGCTGCCATCCTAGTCTTCAGGTAAAGTAAATATTGATATAGATTCATTTTTTAGCTACTGAATTTCATGGTTTGCTGTGTGGGGGTGATGAAAAATTATGGAAAATGGGATTGAAAGGAACAGACCTTGTGAATTTCTGTCCCAGCCTCTACCCCAACATGTGATCAGCTGTAATAAAAATGCTATTAAATCAGTTTGTTTTCTTGACAGCTAGAACAGGCACCTGATTTATTCTAGCCAGTTGATGCTAATTGGTATTTTCATACACTGTAGTTATCTGTAATTGTTAACTTTCTCTTCAGATTAATTCCTCCTCTATCGAATCCACAGCTGTTTGCTCCTTTTGCAAGCTACAGCTTTGCATTTTTTTGGCTGATGATACTGTCGAATGTTTTCTTAAAAGAAACCTTTTTCTCATAATTGACCTATCATTGATAGAACTATTTAGCCAGATCCTTTTTTAAATATTCAGTATTTTATCTAAAAAGCCCTCATGCATAGGGCCTCAAGTGCCATAATTTCACAGGGAATTTTATCTGTAATGAATGCAGTAGAAGCTGTGACATATGAGTGAAACCTCCTGTTGAGAAGGTAGAGTAGAAACCTGCTGTCAAATAAGCAGGCATTCACGTTCCGCGTGAGCTGAATGCAGCATGCAGTGCATTAGTAAAACAAATCAGAATGTGTAAGTTTGAAGAGGTTTGTAACAGTAAGAAAAATCTTAACATCCTGGGCAAATCATGATATGCAGTAATAACACATTTACTTCTGTTTTGCCATGTCAATAATCAATGATTCTTTTTTTTCTTTTTGAAGCTGTGTATCCAGATAACAAAACAATGAGCAAACTTTTTTTGAAATCAGTGAATACAGTGATTGTTTATTTATCTGTTTCCATGTGGCTCTATAGGTACTGCCTTGCTCTTGCTGAGGTTGAGCTGTTAGCAGATCCTGTTTAGTATTTGTTGAACAGTAGATATAACGTGTCTGAGGTGTTGAGCACAATGAAGGGTGACTGTAATGTAATGATGTGTGATAGATGGGTAGCCAAAGTGGACGTGTCTGACTTTATAGAATTCTGTCTGGATTGAAAAATTCAGTAGAATGGTGCTATGAAACTCCATCTGGAAAATCTAATTGTCATTAAAAATAATGAACTTTCAGATCATGTGTGTGTGCGCTAAGCAACTCTGATGTGCAAATGTGAGTAGGCGATTGATTTGGTGGATGAGAGCACAGGGGAGTCAGACTGAAGCATGACTGGAATTTAACTGGCCAGCACTCTGCTACTCAAGCCAATTCACTGTGTAGACAGAAACATATGTAGTCTGTAAACAGTAAATTCAGGAAATATGATCAATTAAACCAAATAAAAGTTCAAGTATTTCAGTTTTCTGGCACTTTTTTATTTGGCAGTTTTTGATACTCACTGTAAAGGTTTGATTTCATATTAGTGTTCAGTTCCTATGTTAGTCAGTTTGCAGTTGAGTCAGTGTCAGTGACAAAAGACTTCCTGACTTAGATGGTGTTAGAATTTTACTGGAAGCATAAATCCAAAGAGTTTCCCTATGTAGCAGTAAATAAGCTGAAGTGGATGTGTTTTCTCACTGTTAGGCTAGGGCATTCCTCTTCAATCCAACCATTGGTCCTTGAATGCTTCTAGGAATACGAATGCTTCTAGGAATACAAATGCTACAAAATACTTCTAGGAATAAAAAGTATTTTTTCCTTATTTGGCATATTTGAAAACTAAAATGTCAAGCTAAAAATATAAATTCTTTGCCTGTTCAATTATGCACTGAAATATTTTCATGTATCTTGTGTAATGTAATCTGGTATTAGCCATAACAAGTTTAAAAGCTTAATATTGCTTATGACACTGGCCTTTGCTTCATGGAAAACGATCTGCTTCAGTTAAAATAGCAGATGTGCCTAAGTTTATTACTTCAACTGCTTTTTATTTTGCTTTGCTTATGCTTTTATTTCACACTGGTTTTGCTGTTGTTTTTTACATGGTTAATTGCTGGCTCAATCGTAGCGTTCGCTACTCAGAATTCCCTACCTCCTTCTGCCTGACTAGTCTCCTCTCTATTGTGTTAGTTTTTGTGTTAGTTTTTGTTGCTGTCTTCTGTTACTCATAAATTGTAACTTTGGCATCAACTCCATCTGGATATGAGGCATAGGGAAGTTGACATCTACACCAAGTACTATCAGATGCAAGGTGTACTTGAGCTCTGGTAGTAGTGTAATTGTGGAATAGTGGAGCCCAGAGTAGGATTATGCACTGAAGCATTTGCAAAACCAGAGCAAGAACAGAAGCTTTGAAAAAGAAAAGCTTGAAAAAGAAGTTTCATTTGCTCTGAACTCTGCGGTATAGCAACGCTTTAAGGTCTGAAGAGCTGCTTTGTGTTTGTGTAGTCAGTTTTCCTAGTGATATTTAAGCATTGTTTTTTCTTTAATGTGGATGCATGCAAAAATTGATGTAAGCTGTTTCTCGTTTTAGGATTCTGAAGGTGACACTCCACTTCATGATGCAATAAGTAAAAAGCGTGATGACATCCTTGCTGTATTGTTAGAAGCTGGAGCAGATGTTACTATCACCAACAACAATGGGTTTAATGCTCTTCACCACGCTGCACTAAGAGGAAACCCTAGGTAAAGATTTGTTTTTAAGGGTTATTTTATCTTATCATTTGTAAAAGGAAAACAAGTGCATGGGAGGGTAGAATTATGGTATTCTTTCAAAAGATCCTTAAACCTCCGTGTAACTATATTTCTTAAATTTTGATGTTGCCTAGTGTGTCTTACTAGAACTTGGGAAGCCATTATTAGAATGAAGCTATTAGTCTGCTCAGTTTAATGCTGTATTTGGGTAACTCCAAATCCATGGGAAATTTCCTGTGGTAGCTGTAAAAGTTTGCCAATAAATATTTTGGTAAGTTATTAAGTAAGATCTTAAGATGGAACCTGTAAAAATGTTTCCCTTCTCGAATATTGGACTTGGGAAAGGGATTTGTTGGTATAAGGTATTTGGTGGTATAAGAAAGGTATTTGGTGGTATAAGAAACATTTCATTTTGTTTTCTTAGAAGTAGGTATAGAAGGAATTTGTTTTTTAGCTTTTATATAGCATCTCATCTCAAAAGGTTAGTTTTAAGGCATAGTTTATTTTATGCATACTATACGTCTACATTCAATCTTCAGTTAAGATAGCTTTCAAGAAGCTTGCTGCATTGCTGGTTGCTTATTGAGTTGTGGATAAATGGTATTTTTCAGAGCTGTCATTCTAGCAAGACTTAAATAATATTTTATCGTATGGTAGAGAATTCAGTATAGTTTACATAAAATAAGAAATGTGTGGTTTACTTGTAGATCTTCACTCAACTGAAAAGCAGAATTTGGTAGTAAAGTTGGACAAATAAGACTGTATGTTAATATATAGGAATAAAATCTGGGTTAGTCTCTTGGCTCATAGCTATCAAGACTGATAGCTGAAAAGTAAAGTTAAGTATTTATATACCTATATGAAATGGAATCATACTTCACAAAATAAAAGTAGTGGTTAGAAGTGTTGATAGGAACAATAGATGTGTTCTAGTTTTCTACAGTGCTCATAAAAGGTCTGTAAGAAGACATGTCAAGGACCTAGTGAAGGGAGCTTATTTTTTGGCATTCAGAATACAATTCTTCCAAGTCTTACTTGGTAACTTCTTCACTTAATGTGAATTTTCCGTGTTTACCTAACAGCATTAGCCAGGAGTACCATCTCCTGTCTCCAGTTGCTGCGGTGGGGTACTTTTTATTAGTTTTGTCCTGCGATGCTTTCTTTAGGCTCTTGTGGTAGTTAGTTTGCATGATCCTGATCTCAATATGAGGTACAGGGGAGAAAAAGCTCTTCATAGGGATGCTGAAGAATTTTCTGTGGGTGAATGCTTTAGGAGCAGCAGGCTTTTTCTTTGATGGAGGGATCCAAATCGTAGTTCAGATTATGTCAGTTTGATGGTTGGTAGAATGTGAGGCATAGTGCAATTTTTCCAAGAGTCCTGTCTCCTTTACAGAAGTTTTTATTAGAAGAATAGGAAAATATTTCCAGTATTAGTGATTTGAACCCTGTGTAGGTTCCCCCCCATACATCGATTTCACTTGCATTTAAAATAGATATCTAGAGCTGTTAGATATCTAGTTCTTTGGTTGCAGTTATATCTGAGCACTTCTGAAACATGTAAGAAGAGAGAATGTTGTCTCCATCACAGAAGTAGTAGTTTCATCTGTTCACAGCATTAGGTATTTTATATGTCAGCCTGGGAAGAAATTAATGAAAAGAAACCAAAAGAAATCTGTTTTGAATAATTCCCCCCGCCAAAACATCATTATAATAGTTTGATTCATTTAGGAGTTAAGTTTTATTTTCTTTAAGGCTCTAGTGATAGTTGTTTATTTCATTGTTGATTCTGTAGTTCTACCACTGGCTTGTTTCTGAATGAAACCAAAAGTTCTATACTTGCCACTTTGTTTTTCTAATCTGATATAGAACAATGGATATTACTGATCTGTTAAATGCACTAAGCACAAGATATTTAAAACACTGTTAAAAACAACCCCCTGAACTTTAGTTGGTAGCTGGTATGGGTCACAACCAGTACGTAATATATTCTGCTTGAAACCTTACTTAAGGACCTACCTTTCCTAATTTCCTTTTCTTTCAGCTTTCCTGTTTCACCTAAACTGGAGTTTTTGTGGCTTTAGGCTGTGGTGCCTTAAATGGAATACAGTGCACTAAATTCCCCTTAAAGTCAAATATATAAATATATATGCGATTTTATAAATGTTATTTTATAACAGTTAAACATATATTCATATATGTGTATATTTATACTTACAAAAATAAAATACTTGCTAGGTATGTAAGTATTGATAAAGTCCAAATCCATTTTGTTAATGATAATAAAATAAATGCTGTGTTAAGAGCATGGATACCACCATAAAGTGAAGTAGATTTCTATAGAATTTTTTACAGTAGGTATCAAATAAGTATTTGGAACCAATTTCACTTTCAGTGCAAAACCTATTCTGCTTCTTGCTCAAGTTCTGACCTTTACTAACAGTAGGGAGATAAATCTCCAAGAAAAAAACCCATACAAACTGTGCTGAGAAGAACGTTTGAAAGTTTTTCCTTTTTAATAGGAAAAGAAGTACATTCTATTTTAAACATTTGAAGATTAGATAAATATTATAAGAAAGACAGTGATTTATGTCAAGTAGCTTAGATTTTTCTCAGCACTTAATCTTCCATGACAGTTTGGCAGTGTTTACCAGAAGTCAAGGTATAGTGTGTTTTGGAGAGCATCCTATTGCTAGTGGAATATTTCTCCTTTCAATAAAATGCTTCTCTTCAGGCCTTGTGAATTGGTACAGAAACAGAACTTTGGGGTTTTGTGCTAATGTATAATGTTGAAATGTAGAATGGACATTATTCAATTTATGCTGTAAGTAGCTTTAAATTTGTGCATGGGAGATAGAGCTAAAGAAATTCTAAATGAAGTGGGGGGGAAGTTAAGATTTTATTTAATACGTGGTTTCTTGTTCATGATTAACTGAGTCGGTAATATTAAAAGTGCATTTATTTTGGACTTTTTTCAAAGTACTGTGAACCTCAAAGCTTGGCAAACTTTGCCTCTTCAGTGTTAATGAGACTTCAGACAGAAAAAAGGAGAGTAAAATTTGAAAATACTTTACAGATTGGTTATTTTTACCATGTTATCAACTCTTGGTTGTGTTTGATCTATTCGCATACCTGTGACTTCAGATTTTTGAGCTGAAGACGTGACTGTGAAGTGTAGGCGTATTTTATATCCGTTGCCCCAGTTAGTTTTAGATGTGCATTGTATCTTGTGAAGAGAGCTTTATTCACGCTGCAGCTAGCGTCTTAAATAAAGGCTGCTTTTAGAGTTGACCTGACTTTGCACATGTGTACGGCTAGTTCTTCAGCACAATAAATTCTGCTGGACTTTAAAAAACTTAAAATACTGGGGTAAGGTGAAGATTTCGTATTGCTGTCCAATAGCAAGGAGTATGTCATCTTTACATTCCTAAACTAGCAAGTAGGAGATTGTGATTTAAAATGGAATTACACTATTTCCCCACAGTTGTCTTATTTAGTAGATTTTTCCTTGGTTTTAGATCTGCAGATGGTTTGAACTGGTTGCCGGTGGAATTTTTAACTGTCTTTAGTGATGTTTTTGAGAGGTGGGGTTTCTCACCTGTACTTAGTGTTAATGAGTGTCTCCGGGACTTTTGTGCTGTATTGCTGTGGAGGTCCTCACAGAGCCAAGTTGTGAGGTAATTGAAGAGTTGTGCAATTATTTTCTAAACTAGTAAAAGAGATGGTTTTTTCTTTTTTTGCTTTCATATTTGCAGTTCTGACAGTAAGTGTAGGTTGAAGCTGAGTGCAAAAAAATCATGCTCCTAAAACCTCTTATTAAAGTATTTATGTCAGAAAATGCTTTGAAAGAAGACTTTTGTTCAAGTTGATTTGGAGAAAGAATATAATCTCTATGAGCAGACCTATAATTAGATGGCAGATTAGCCTGTAGCTGTTGAGGTCAGTGACAAATTTATTATCTTTAAATAGTAAATAATATGCCCAGCATGTGCAAGATGGCAAATACAGTTCCTACCCTGTGGAGTTTCCTCCCTTGTGCCATTAAAAAAAAAACGGGGTGGGGGGAGAGTGGGAAGAGAGGTGCCCAGAAAGCAGACTTTCCTTCCATTGCCAGTACTGTTCATGATTCCTTCCTTTGATCCACTTTTTTTTTTTTTTTTTTTTTTTTAGTCAGTTCTGTTACAAAGGGCACCAGACTTGAGGAAAAATGCAAGAGACAATAAATAATTGGAAAATGTGTTTATTTCACTGTTTCCCTCTCTTCTTTATAAATGTTATGAGATCAATTTTCACTGAATATGGACAGAATATTCTAACACCACTAGCTGTTTAGTTACAAATACGACATTGAAATTTTGGAATATAGAATTTACTGTACTTCTTGTTACTTTCCATCTTTGAACTGCCTAGAATACTTGAACTCAACTGCAGAGAGGACTGCATAATTACTCTGTGAAGACTTAGCGTCCCGTTTTAAAAAGATGAGAAATCCTGTAGTGATCAATGCATAGCTACAGCTGGTTGAAGGGGACCAAATCCATTGAAGAGGTGATTTGGTTCCATTTTACCAGCTTTAGCAAAGCATTGGAGTGTGCAGGAAGGTTGTAATTCAGTCACACTTTAAGTACATGAACGGTTCACAAAGAACATGTGGCTTTCTTCTGTGTTAACACATTTTGCAACTTTAAATTCCTTCACTAATTTGGAGATGGCAAAATGGAAAGCTGTGTACCAGAAAGGCCTGTACAGTATCCAGGTTCGTTGTTTCCTTGAGTATTTCCTTGAGACTCTTTGAATGAGTCTCAAATCAAATTATAGTTACAGTTCTAAGTTTTTTTTCTGTCTGCAATAATGAAATTCTAGAGCAGTGACCAGAAACTGTAGTCTTACAATTTCTACTCATGTAGAGCTCCCTTGCCTCTTTATGTTAAACTTTACTGGGGAAGAAGGTTTCAGTTTCCCCTCCCACCTTCCCCCCTCCTTCATTTTCTGGC